ATGTACCGACTATAGTCGGCCGACTAGTCGGCTTTGTTAAAACCGGTTAAAATTGGTTTAATCGACCGCAAATTGGTGTCCAAGTTCCGCTAGTTACGATTCTGAAGTCGCCGTCAGGATATCTGGTCCAATAAACACGCAAAGCGAATTCAAAATTTCCAAAAATTTTCCAAACAAGTGGTTAAAACTGGTTAAAGTATTGTATAAAGTGCCCTAAATTGTGTTATTCTTTATTTTTGTACTGAGTTACTGCAAAAAATTAAATGTTAAAATTATCCAAACAAATTTAACACATTTTTTGGAAAACAAAGAAACTTTAATTATTCCTTTTATTAAAATAAAACAAGTTTTTAAGGTAGTCAGAGAAATAGAAAAAAAAAACACTGTCTGTTGCATTTATAAACCGGTTTTAGCAAAGCGGAACAGTCGGCCGACTATAGTCGGTACATGTCTAGCCACAATGCAAATGAGTGATTGTGACGGAGAAATCACTTGTACACCGCCTGCAGTGTTGGAGGCGGCAAATAAGCTACCCTATTGTTTTGAAGGTTGCAGAATATACTAATTTAAATTTGTTAATAATTTCAATTTTCAGTCTTTCGTTCAAATTTTTTATTGTGCTACAGTCGCTCCGTTCCGCACTCGTATATCTGTTATAAACACTCGCTTGATATTTGTTACTTTCAACACTTCTTACGAAATATGCTATAACAGCTACATACAACGTTATTTTAGAAATTTATGTTCCATGATTGACTATTCATTGTTTAATTGTACAAGACACGGTCAACTTGATGCCGCATCTGCATTTTCCGAAGTGGACGCTCCACTTGCTCTTGACATCATCAAGACCGTTCAGGACTCGATTAAATAAAGCGAAATCCATTGCATGTGTTATTCTAAAAATTGCGTGTCTGTTTTTTTTTTTTTTTTTTCATAGAATAAAATTTTACAATGTATCAACCTTTTGTAATTATTTATAATCGATTTGAAACAATTTAAACTAAGACAACACACCTTTAAACACAACGAACACAATACGTTATTGATGGACTGACGTAACTGACAAACTTCAAAATGTCGACTTTTCTCTTGACAAAAATTGGTCGAAAGTTGTTTGGACAGAACTTCCCTCGCACCTAAAGCACAATGAAACATATCCAGCATTTTCAAGTTGAGTTTTTCCGTTACACAATTTTGTAATGACATCATCAACATTTTTGCAAGGACAACTTGGATTGGTGCAGTGTAATACTAAAAATAACTGTATTGTATTCCCTAAAATTTTCCGGAAAAATGGAGTGAGCCGTTCCTGATTTAATCAGTAAAATAAACTGACTCATTCATTAATTTTTTGAGCCACCTGTTTAAGCAAATCTGAAATGTATGAATGAATAAATCACAAGTAAAAACTCATCATATTTTGCACATTTTAGATAGGATTTATTCGGTTTGATAAACAGATGCATTTTGATTAAAAAATTACCTTGCTTATAATAACTTCAAAACGTGTACAAGATTTCAAAATATTCAGTTTTGCTGTTCTTGATTTAATCAATAAAATAAATTAACTCAGTCATTAATTTTTTTGAGAGTTTGTATAAGCAAATCGAAAAAATATTAATGCAGTGATAAATCACAAGTATAACCTCATCATATTTTATACTTTTAAGATAAGATTTATTCAGCAGTATTTTGAAGTCATCAGTTTTTTAGGAGGGATGAACAAATACATTTTGATCAAAAATTTGCCATGCTTCTTATGATAACTTTAAAACATCTCCAAGATTTAAAAGCATTCAGGCAATTTCATGAGCAACCGCATCTCATTCCCCCTCTTTTATCCCGATATTATGATTCCCACGATTCGAGAATAAGCACCCCCAGGTGTAGAATCTAGGCAAACGTTTCGATAAATCAAGTGTGTAACGTCAGCTTTAGTGGAAGCTCTTATTATTTATCGAAATTTAGAAAAATATTGTTATTATTATTATTATTATTATTATTATATATTCGACAGGGCGAACCCCATTTATGGAATATATTTCTGTTTAATTCAAACCGATTCAAACTTTAATTTCTTAATGGTACACATATTTGTATTAAAAATATCTACCTGACGGTTAAGCCAGTTACCTATGTAACACAATCTGTACACTGGTGAAAACTTCAGAACATTCGTTCTAGGTGTTGGTAACGCAAATAACTCCGGTTTTCTAGATATAAGTAATCTAGGACTTCCATTAAAACATATTCTTCTCAATATGTCATGACAATCGAATCTGTTATTAACAAGCTTATAAATAGTGACTTCCAAAAATAATTTATTACGGTTTTCTAATGCTGTCATCTCTCCAAAAGTATAATTTGTGGAAATCCAACCGGAGGATACGTTCTCTCCTCTCTAAAATACAGATATTTAAGGAACCTACGCTGCACCTTTTCAATATTGTTTATATGTATATTATAGTAAGGGAACCAGACCACATTTGCGTATTCCATTTTGGTTCTAACCAGTGCAATAAAAAGTGAAATTAACGTCTTTGTATTCACAAAATCCTTTGAATTTCTGAGTATGTAACCAAGGGACCTAAAGCACGCAGAGACTACATAATCGAAGTGAGCATTAAAAGACAATTTACTGTCAAACTTAACTCCTAAGTCATGAACAATGTTCGGTCTAGAGACTAACTCACCTAATATGCTGTAATCAAAATAGATATAGTAGCCTGCAGAGATGTTGTAGCCGTCCATAGAGTCGAAATTTGCGAATAAAAATAAAATAAAACCGGCTCAAACGGAGCCGACGACGGTTTGCAAGTTCTGTCACTACGGCACGCGTGACATCACACAGGGGTGTATTTAAGGCCGATTGCACAAAATCTTAGGGTCACTGTAATCTTACTATTTTCTGTCTACGACAAACGATTTGTCACACAGCTACGAAACCGACGATCTAGAGAAAGATGGAAGTTTGAAAATGTATTTCAACAAGTGTAATAACCGTTTGGTGCAACGCAATTGGTTCAAGCAAAGTAAAATATGACAGAAAACAAACAGTCCACGTGGACTAGTTTATAGCCGTGTTTGCTGCTAAGATGACCAGGTTTTTCGCTCCACCTACTACCACAACGATGAATATACCATACCAAAACTTATGTACAGTGAACAGAGCTTCGTTTTTATTGACGAGATTGAGCTCAGAAATGAAACAGATTATATCATAACGGAAAAGATGACATTTAATATTAAATACGTCTCTGTGCAACGTGTGCCAGAGTGACGTCAGAATTTGTAAGCCACCGTCGGCTCCTTTTGAACCGGTTTTATTTTATTTTTATTCGCAAATTTCGATTCTATGGACGGCTACAATATCTATGCAGGCTACTATAGAATTTTTCATTTTAGAGAAGGACATAACGTAGCATTTTGTTTTATTGACTGGCAATTCATTAACTTTGCACCAATTTAAGACTTGATTTAGGTTGCCATGTAACTTTACACAATCTGCCGATGACTTCACTTTTGTGAATATTTTTAAATCGTCCGCATATAGCAAATAATCAACATTCAGGATGTGACTTATATCATTGATAAACACGGAAAATGGAAGTGGCCCCAGCACCGACCCCTGTGGAACTCCAGAAGTTGGAAATACATCCTTTGATGAGCATCCACTGCAATAGACAAACTGTTTCCTAGCACAAAGATAAGAGTGAAAAACCTTAAGTAGCGCTGGTGAGAATCCAATGACACCAAGTTTATACAACAAAATATTGTGACTTATTTTGTCAAAGGCTTTCGAAAAGTCCATGTAAATGACGTCCGTCTGACCGCCCTCATCAATTGACTCACTTAGGAATTGAGTTAAAGACACTAAATTTGTCACTGTAGACCTGCCATGCATAAATCCATGTTGGTTTTCAGAAATATTACTTTTTAAGTGAAAATAAATGTTATTAAAAATCACCATTTCAAAGATTTTAGCGAAGTTATTTATTAAAGCAATTGGTCGATAGTTTTCGATAGCCTTACGATCACCCTTCTTCAATATCGGAACAATTTTAGAAATCTTCCACAACTTCGGAATTACACCACCTGTTAAGATTTTATTGAACAAGATAAACAACGGCTTTACCAATGTGGGAGAACAGTCTTTTAAGAAAATAGATGGAATTCTGTCTGGACCAGCGGTATTTTTACGTTTCAATTTTTCCAAGGCTGCACTGATTTCGTTTTCAGTTATGTTAGGAATGTGTAACACTCCACTACAAATATCTGGTCCATCACCACTGAAATTTGAAGCTGGATTGAAAACCGATTGAAAATATGTTGCAAAAGCATCAGCAATATTTTTTGGACCTGATATCAGAGATTTGTCATATGTCATTGTGGACGGGATGTTACTACTGCCTTTTTTCAAATTCACATACCTCCAAAATTCCTTAGGATTATCTACCATATCTTTTTCAACCTTTGCATTAAAAATTTTGTATTCACCCGATATTTTAATTTTAAGCTGTTTACGCAACTCCTTGAAAACCTGCCAATCATCTTGATTGTTGTATTTTCGGCATTTTCTATAAATCCGATACTTTTTGCGAACCATTTTTATTATTTCTGGCGTAAACCAAGGAGGGAATGTATATTTCCGATTTGTGTACTTCGGCACATACTTGTCTAGTACAGAGTATAAGATATTATAAAATGTATCACAAGCTGTATCTACATCTGAGCACATTTCTAAAGATTTCCAATTTACTTCCATGAGAGCTTCGTATAAAGAATTTAGATCAGCTTTATGGAAATTATAACTAGAGCTTGACGAATTAGGAAGGTTTCTATTGTTGTCAACGTGATAGTTATAATTCTACTTTCATGTTTCTGTAAAGGAGTATACGTATGTCATATTTTTGATCAAATGAAGATGTATCTTTTTGTGTAATTCTATCAACTTTTAACAATAGTAAATGTTAATTAATTTTTTTCATTTTTTGCAGGTTATACCAAGGATTAGAATGGATAGTTAACCGATTAAAAAATAAATGACACCCTTAGTATTAACCACCTATGTAAAAAATCTGTTATACAATAACAATCTATTGGTTTTTCTCATATTGAGAAATGAGGTTGTGTTATTTTGCTTTTTATGCTACAAAAATTATAAATCTACCTGTTTATTAATTTATCTACTGGAAACAAATGTCTGTATTGTCAATTATCCATACACATTATGTAATTTTTAAGAAGTCTATAAATTTAACGAACCTGTTATGAGATATATTACTTTTTATCCACATCATTATAAAACTATTTTCTAGTATTTTTTGTTTGAAATGTACTTTTTGTTACTTTGATAAGCATTTTAATTGTACAGTAACAATAGTAAGTAAAAATAAATTATCTGTTACCACTTGCCATGTTAATTCAATATAAAAGGTATCACATCTCAACCACGTTGTAATTAGTATGACGACTTTGCTTGTCAACTGATTTATTACTTCAAAATTATTACCTGGACTGAAAAAAACTAGATAATGAAGAATCTAAGTAGGTGTTCGTCACAGAAAGTGAAGTCAACTTTTGTTTTTTTAAATTTAACCTCCTTTTTTTTTCTTAAGAGAAATTACAATGTCATCAATACAAAGTGTGTACCGTTTCAATTGTTAGGGCACACAAGGTAGGACTACATTTTATTAATTACCGTAAGTAACATGATTCTATTGAAAGTTCAGACAACTTTGTTGTTTACCCTCTTTAAAGGTATCAGAGAGCTTGTCAATAGTAATACCATGAGTAGGATGAATATTTGTGATAATTCAGACGATTTATTAGCTAAACGATTTTTGTATTGCGATGGAAATATCACGAGTTGCGCAGCAACGAGTGGTATTTCCTGAGCGCAACACAAAATGAGTTTGCTAATAAAAGTCTGAATTATAAAAATATTCATCCTACGAATTGTATTTTGCAAGACTATTCCATGCAGCTAGTACTAAAGCACAATAATTATAAACAATTTTCTTCTGTATTTTTAATTCACTTTCTACGAAAGAATTGTTGGCAAATGAACCCATTTTTTAATAATGTCAAAAAATTAATTTGTTTACATCATCGTAACTATGGTTTGCTAGGTTGAAACATGGCCGACTAGTATAAAGATTATGGCCTGTCCAAGAGGTACGATACGTGTTGCCATCTATTTATAATTACACTTAATAATTTAGCAAAATTTTAATTTGACTTGACATTATGGGACTTCAAAACGTGTAATGGTGGTTTGTTTGGGTATGAATGCCTTTGTGCCTTTCAAAAGGTGTTAATAATTCTTTTGTCGATTTTGAATTATTAATAGATGGCAGCACGTATGGTACCTTTGGCATTCCTTTGGACAGGCCATAATCTTTATACTAGTCGGCCATGGTTGAAATAACTAGTATATTATTAGCCAAGGTTGCAACGCCAAGCATTCTAGACCGAGCGCAAATTAGAACCCGAGACGCGCAGCGTCGAGGGCTCTGAAGCGCAAGGTCTAGAAGTGGCTTTGCAACCGTGGTTAATATACTATTTTTTTCACTAGTAGAAACCATAAGACAATAAATTGAAAAAATAAACGTTAAATTTTTTGACGCAACATGATTATGTTTTGATTTCTAATCAAACTTGATCTAAATCTTCAGCACAAAGAAAACCGTTTACACTTGTCGCTGAATTAATCATTTTATCTTCCACCGTCTACCAACTACCATGCGTATACTCAAGTAATGTTAGTATCACAAATGTATTCATTTTTTAAGAAATAATCACATCAAGTATTGCGTACATAACCTCAATCTTCTTTTTAAACCCGTGGTCGCAAAAGTTGAATTTGCTACCTCTAAATGAGTCGACATTTGCATGCTTCATGGCTGCTAGTGAAAAAACAAAATTTTTCTTCCCTTACCTACGTTGATGACCCAAACAGGCAACACGCACGCACCACTTCTTCGCACCCCCGCACGATCGCGCGCACTGGGTCGCTGGGGGAGGGGGACTGTGGCGACACAATAATACGTAGTAGTAAGCGAAGAAAGATAAGCTCCTCCGTAGTCTAGTCTAGTAGTAAGGGCACCCGCCCGGCAAGCGGTAAACGTGCGGTTCGATTCCCACCGGAGAAGCAACATTTTTCTTCGCTTACCTACACCTTTATAGTAATAGCATATTTTCGCAGTGGCACTCAAGATGAATTTGTGAACTGGAATTATTCGATATAGAGTTTTGTTATGGCCAGTTCATGGGCATAACAAAACATTTCATCTTTTCGCAAAGCATTGTACACATAGTGTTAAGCGGTTTCGTGAAACCGGTAGTATAGAACAAAAAAAGTCAACTAGAAGACTGGCATCGGTGGTAACTGAACAGGCAGTTCATAATGTTGAAGAAAGAATGCAACATAGTCCGAACAAATCTATTAGGCGACTGTCTCAACAGACAGGTGTCTTACGGAAGTCGTCAAACAATTTAAAAAAAAAAAAAACTCCACATGATACAAGGTGATTACGGTTCAACATCTACTCCCCCAAAACTTTGGAGCCCGTGTTCAAGACTGCCGCTGGGTCCTTGACAATATAAATTCAGATTGTGGTAGCTCAGCGGTTTATTGATAATACAAATAATACAAATCGAAAGTATGGGTATGGGTTCTCGAAGGGGCGGCAATTTCTTCGGGGATGGTGGCGGCTCCTGGGACTCGGAGTGTCGTAGGGGATGACGGCGGCGGTGTATGTGACACAGGGGACTTGGACAGTGCAACCCTGATGAAGACGTCGGCGATGTGGGACAGGGGACCTAGACAGTGCGACCCTGGAAATGACGATGTCGGCGATGCGGCACAGGGGACCTGGACAGTGCGATCCTGGAGATGACGTCGTTGAAGCGGCGCAGGGGACCGTAAAACAGTGCAGCCCTGGTGATGATCTCGAAGCGGCGCAGGGGCCCGTAAAACAGTGCAGCCCTGGTGAACACCAGAAAGGGACCGAAACAGTGCAGCCTTTAAGGTGGAGATTGTTGTAAGGGCAATATTATATTTATGGTACAAATAGCAGAGTGGGGATGTCACCCTCTATCTTGGACCAAGCAGGTAGTTTTTTAAGAAGTCATAGCGGAGATGGGAAAGACTGTACATGGCTGGGAAAATAAACGTTAAAAAAAGGGAATAAGCGTTTGACTAATCACCCTCGCGCCGCGAAAAGGTCCTCAAAATACAACAAGATGGTGGAGTTCCATCTGTGCGGTGCTCACCAAAAGGGGACCGAGACAGTGCAGCCCGTAAGGTGGAGATGGTGGAGTTCCATCTGCCTGAAAAGTGGCCACTTTGGCCCTTTTATAGGCAGGGTTGAGTTGCGTGGGAGTACCTGCGTAGTGACGCAGCTTCAGGTGGATTGCGTTCCAGTGGGGGTGAGCATGGTGGGGTTGATACTGGCGCTGCCGAGGACATCACCCTCGAGAGGGTACTAGCGGGGCGCTTTGGAAGCTCCGTTAGAAGATGAAATTTTGGATATGGCGTTTTTTACGGACGAAGGTTATTTCCACCTCTCGGGATACGCGAATTCCCAGAATTATTTTTTTTCTAGCTAAAATAATGCGCGTGCGTTTGTGCTATATGTCAGGTTTGTTACAATGTCCTTGGTTATTTACATATTTAAAGAAGAGAATTCTCTCCTTTTGTTGTAAATCTCTTATATTTTGTTCTACAAGCGTTGCTTTTTTAAGCCGAGCGCCGAGCAGTCTTTTGATCTGCTTGATTTCAATTTTACGCTTTTACATAGCCTTTTGTGTTATAAAAGTCATTATTTACGTGTTTTGTTACTTTAGTGGCCGCGCGAGGTCGCTTTGGCGACGTCTGCGGCCGCCATTGTTGTTGATATTTCTTTGTTTATTTATCATTTTAATTTCGGCTGCAATTCCTCATTGTCCTATTTGCCAGATGTCCGCTGAAAATTCACCCTCTTCTGAGGTTAAAGATTTTCTAGTCTCGGAATGCTGTCCTGTGTGTGCGGCTCCAGCAGAGCAGAGGTGGGGCGGGTAGTAACTATTCGCAAGGCCAACTAGATTCATATCGCATAGCGCTGTATAAGGCCTCGTCACTCCACTGAAAATTGGGTTCCAGGATAGCAAGCCATGGAATCCCGAAAGTGGTGTCATCTATTCTCAAATTACGATACTGTATTTGAAATGAAAACAAGAATCATGTTCGTCAAGATCATTATAATTATTTGTGATAATTACTATCACCGGTTCCACGCTGTCACAATTGTCATATCGAATCAATCTTTTGCTACTTTTGTGTGTTTTGGGTTTCTTGGTCGTTTGTTCTCGTTCTGTATTTATATTGTTATTGTTAAGGTTCTCTTGGCATTTTGAATGGAACAAACAATTTAATAAAAGAACGCTTGTATGCAGAACTACAAAATTTAAAGCACCCTGCACAAAGATTGTGTTCCTTGATTATTGACGACATGTCAATAAAAGAGAAGATGATTTATAGTAGAGCAGAAGACCACATTTATGGACTGGATAGTAATTCAAATTCTATCGGTAGTTAACCAAAAATTGCAAACAAAATGGCATGTTTTGTAATTAATGGCTTATCAGCACGATTTGTTATTCCAGCTGGGTATTTTTTTCATTCCACATTACAAGCTGCAGATTTCCATTCATTAACTTTGCAAGTTCTCAAACTTCTGACAGACTGTGGATTTCTAGTTTTACGCATTGTTACGGACAATCATCCCTCTAATGTAGGACTGTTCAGAAATTTATGTGGAGGAACACTCAGATATTACATTGAGCATCCATTTCTTCCACCAATGCCTTTATTTCTTTCTTTTGATTTTTGTCATGCGATGAAAAATGCAAGAAACCTTTTTTTGCACCATAATATGAACTCCTCAGCTGGCATCATTTCTTCGTCCTATTTGAAATACTTATATGGCCTACAAAAGGAATGGCCTGTGAAACCTGTCAGGTACCTTACCAAAAAACACCTATTTCCAACAAATCTGGAGAAGATGAATGTGTTGCGAGCTGTACAGGTTTTTTCACCGCCAGTTACTTCAGCGCTTAAATTATTAAAAGAAGATGGATATGATAATTTTATTGATGCTGATGGGACTATCTTATACATGGAAAACATGTATCATTTCTTTCAAGTGCACAATGTTTCAACTCGCAGGCACTACATTCATGCCCTCGATAGCACTGTTGCACCATATGTGAACGTTTCGGACGAACGCCTTCACTGGTTGAATGTGACTTTCCAACATTAAGTCAAGGATATTTAGTCTACTTCAAGCAGGACTGGTTATTCAGGCTTAAGCGACGAAACGGCACATGCTTTGTGTTTCACAGCAAAAAGCACATTTTTGTGCATTCAGTTTCTTCTTAAACAATCTGGATTTTATTATGTATTAACTAGATCATTTAGCTCGGACGCAGTTGAAGCAACATTTTCCCATATTCGCCTAAAAGGAGGCTCAAATGACACCACTGATGCTCGTGCTGCAGAATATGCTTTACGGCAAATTCTACGAAGTGGCATTTTAAAATCATCTTTATTTGCTAACACCGCAAGTACTGTTAGTCATGTATCTTTGAATCAACTGTCTCATCAGAGAAATCAAACAGCAGAGGACCAACTTGAAGAACTACTTCTGCCTGCAGATTTACGTTACAAAATTGATAGTTTAAAACGGAATCAAGTACCTGAAAGTAACCTCTACTCTGCATCCATAGCTTTCTTAGCTGGATATGTAATTCTTAAGCTGCAACAAAAAATTCGATGTGATAATTGTATTGCACCATTAGTATCAAGTACAATACCTGGACCTCTGCTAAAATTAATAACCCTTCAAGACCATGGTGGCTTAATACACCCAAGTGAACTATTTGTGGGACTTGTAAAGCAAATAGCCGATGTCATCCAAGAAATTTTACCACACTTAAGTTTTAACAAAACATGTGACCACCTGATTAAGCTCTTACAACCAAAATTACTAAAAAATCCATTACTACCTTGCGTTGAACACCAACAAGACCTCAGCGTGATCATTATACTAAAGTAGCAAAACCGGTCTTGTCGAATATATGTCTAGAAAAAACAGATTCTTTAAAAAGAAAAATAATAGACAACAAACCCCAAAGCAGGAAACTATTGAAGCTTTAATAAATGGTTTATTCTTATTATGGTATTATTTCTTGCTTGTTTTGAGTTTCTATTTAACACTGACATCAACCACTTCTGGCAGTGACACTTGGTCACATCACAGTGACAGTGACATTTGGTGTTTGGTGGCATATCAAAGTTGTTTAAAATCCCACAAGGTTGCTCCACTTTCGGTACGTTTGATAGGAACTTTAAAAAGCGCGAGTGACGAGGCCTTATACAGCGTTTAAGCAGTATGAATCTAGTTGGCCTTGCTATTCGTTACAAAGTATTCAGTACACTATGAGACCCGAACTACCGAATATCGAAGTTGAAAAGTAATCGTTACTATTCGTCAATGTATGATTACTGACCACTTCGTGATTTCGAGTATGCATTCTGGATTCAAATACTAAGGAATCAAGAATCGATTGCCGACCTCCTATATATCAAATACCCTTACTTTTATTTACTAACACTTCGCTTTCAAGTTGAGTTGAATCACAGAATATCATACAGTAAGGACAGCTTTTGAAAGCCCCATAAGAAATACACGTAACGGACCAGAACAACAATAATCGACCGTTGGGTAAGGACATTATCTTGAATTTTGGCTTGAAACTAGTGGCAAACCTTGTTACTAAATAAAATTTACCACCATGTCAACATTGTGCGTCAAATTTGACATTTTAGATGTTTGGTATTTAATATTGTAACTGTGAATTATTATTTTTACTGAATAGAAAATGCGTGTTCGAACAAATAAATAGAATAAATAATCTTGTGGAAACTGTACACAGGGCACAGGGGTGCGGTATGCTGGTATGGACACAGTTACGAGGGCTGCTTTTATATGTCGGCCAAATGAAGGTAAAATTGAGTTGGTAGAAAGTAGTGAAACAAATCGTTTTTCTAGGGCTGCAACATAAAAGGTGAATGCTTCATGTAGCATCTTAAGCCCGCCACTCACGTTCCAACGCCGCAGTACAGTTTTTGAACGTCTGTGTATGCGATCAAGCAAATCGGTTGGATGTGGACGGTTGGCGAACAAGTCTGTCTGCAGCAGTACAATCGTGTTGTATTGGATGGAAATTTGATCATGTGTGGACATGACTCGACAGTGTATGTTATTCAAACCGTGAGAGCAGTTATAAAAGTACATTTTCGTCATTTCATCAGACATGTTGTCATCACGATCGCAAATTTTTAACTGCAAGGTCGTAACGTGTGTGTGTACTGCTGCTTTTTAACAGAATTGTACACCAGTTGCATCCAATACAATCGTATTGGGACGTTGGAACGTGAATGGCCAGCTTTAGGATTACCAAAATGGTGGATCATCATCAAAGGCGCTGAAGTGACAGAGAAGTTTATCATATATGATGACATTACGTGCAACGGCAAAATAACTACATGTTTCACAGGTATATTTCATCAAACATTTCTTCATTAAGTATACACAGACATAACTTAAAGAATTTTGTTCCCCCATGTCCAGATGTCTGTAGTCTGTCATATTTACTTCCACAGACTTATGTGCAAAAGTTGTTCAGCTTAAAACTGTATTAATAATTTGACACTGGTTACTTTCTTTAGATTCAATTGCTATTAAAATAGATCCTAAATCATTACAACTATTGGGATTTTCACTGTGCTGTAAAAATTGCATACCAAATAATTTTTTATTGATTATAGAATAATATACTTCTTTATATTTCTTATCTTACAGATTCCAAGGGAAATTTGAAGAAGCCCCTGAAGCAGATTTTTTCATTGTGCCTGCAATCACGAGGTGGTCTACCACTGTAGTCCATGTTACTATGAAAAGGTTCTCAGAATCACTTCACTAATTTAACTAACAACAAAAATTCAACCAAAAACATCAAAGTACTTTTCTCAAGGAAGATGAAAACAACAGCGTTCACTTTCTGACTCTTCAAACGGTTCACACTTGGCGAAAATTGAAGGCATTGACAAAATAAGTAGTTGATATGTTTATGTTGAAATTAACTTAGTAAAGTGACTTTTATTAATGAATAAATTAAATATAAGCACAATTCTTTTTTATTGTTCAAAATGGTATTTTCTTCGTAGTCTTCTTCATACCACACACCAAAAATTGGTTTCAGTTTATTAATATTCATCCGATGTTTATATCAGTTCCTTTTACATTGTTTTACGGACAAGCTGTATTTGTAATTTAGGCAACCAATATTCCACTTCGTTTTAAAAATCCCACCTAATCAAAACGGTTGGGTAAGGACACGTTGTTCCAATATTTGACGAGCTGTCTCTACTGTATGGTATACTGTGGCTGGGCTCTTTGTTTTGTGTCGCACATATCAGTGGCGGCTCGTGACTATTTTGATTGGGTCGGCCAGCAGTGAGTGAGCCAAAGTTTTAAGACATACAGCGTGTTATTAAAAGGTACGTACAAAATAAAATCGGCAATTGGTCTCGAAGTATGGGTGCTAAAAGTTAAAAAAAGTTCAGGTAAAAGTGTTCTCCTTTTAGAGATAACAATTATTAAAATTTATGTCCAAATTCGTTGTACGCCTCTGATAAAAACATCTCTCGTTTCTATAGTAACATTTAGTCTTGACAAAAGTTTTATTGTTACAGTTGCTAGGGTTTATTAAAATAGATTAACTTTACCTATTTATCTTTCAGTAGCGTCTAAAAAGGTTGGATAAGGGTTAATTTTCCCCTTATAATTTTGATAACACAAAATAAGTTTTTCAGATTTCTTAGACCTCGCGAAGAACTGTAAATTTTGTTGTACGTACTGTAAGGATCCAATTCGAATTTTTAAATTTCAAATGAATTCCGCGCGCACAAGAAACGGTTGGTAAGAAGAAGAGGTTGGCAACCAACGACACCAAGAAAGATGACATGCGCAAAAAAATGTGCGGGTGGTTTTGTCTCGGGTAAAACCGCCCACTTCCTTTTGATCGCTTCGAGAGAACACACCACTTCCTTCGAGCGCTTCGAGCAACAGGTTGTACTTTTATCTGTGAGTTATTCTGTGCCTTTTGCTGTTGTTTTTGCGTTTCCAGTGTTGATCCGTTCCATTGGAAAACCTAGCAGCCCCCGTTGAAACATTGGGTGTTCCTGATTTCTCATCGTTCTTACGACGAGGTTTTGTGTTCCTGTTGGCGGTAAGCCGTGTCGAAATCTTCGCATCTTTGGAGAGGTATGTTTTGAACACGTGTTTTGGACTGGATCCTGTTTCGCGGCGAGTTTCAAGCCCCGCCGGTGCTTCTGACCTCGTGACTCAACGACGCGTGCGCTTTTTTTTTCCACTAATCTCGTTTTTTTACCTTTCATTTAAAATCCATCGCAGTAGGGCTTTACAGGAAGTGATTTTTAGTTCGGGCCATGCTTTATTTAGCTATATTTGTGAAATCTGTATTTTGGATGGTGGCAAACGAGTTGTTATTCTCACCGTTCTTTGTTCAGGCAGCGGCCATTTTGAAGCGTCCATTTGTTTCTTTTAATCGAGCACATGTTTTAACTGAATCTATTGAACAAAATAACAACATTGTGGGTCATGGGGGGACGTGCCTTTATTCTTTGGATTTAGCACATCGTTTATACAACGCCACAGGATTCATCGTATTTTTGCATCGCATATTTTCGACGCCTATTATTTGGAATGACGAATTCGTCCAACGCCATTTTGCAACTGCAGATTGTCTGCCATGTTTGTTTATGTGTTTTGTTTGGGGAAATGTATGTGTAATAATGGCCCACAATGCAGCTAAATAATTTCACGTTTGAATTTTAACCAATAACTTGACTGGACACCGATTAATATTAATCACATGTAAATCTGTTAACTTTACAATCTTTCACCTCATGCAATTTGTCTTTGTCTCACAATTTTAGCTTCAGTAATTTTCTTTGCTGTATAATTTGAATGGAACGTAAATTTCCAAGCTCTGCAGTTTTGACCTAACATGATATTTAATTTGTACAAGCTTATTTCACACCAGATCTTGTTTTTATAAATCTTTGCTAAGTTTTGCTCATGTAAATATTTTGTTGATGAATGTTTCTCTCATATAAATTATTATTTGATGTCCTACTTTAATCTCAATTAAGAATTATTTGTTGTTGAATTTTCGTAAGAGTGTGTGGCGAATTTAAATGTTGTGTATTGCTCTTTGTTGAAACTTTAACACTTGCTCGGTTGTCATTTAATATTAGAGTCATAGAGATTGAACATTTAAATGAAATTGAAGGTAAATAACACATAACTCGTAGTGTACGTGGGGCGCGCGACTCCTTCTCAAACTGACGGGATCAATCGCGGCACCTGCACAAATCCGCGGGTTTGTATAGCTTCAGGGGGCGATCGCGGGTCTTTAACGCTGTCGACTTGGCCCAATAGTCGAGACCCAACTACGGATCTGCGATCGTAACCGCCTCGTTTCGCAGGGCACGTTCGTAATGGAGATGTGCGTGTGAGCAGGCTTTGGTGTAGATAGAATCACCGTCGTGGGGAGAACAGTGACGATCAGGAGTCCCAACCTCTACTTGCGCTACAACGCCCCCTCTGGGTATTTTCTGTGCTCGTAAAGGAATTTGATATTTTGTTCTATATTTTGTTCGATCGCCACACTCTCATAATGATTCGGGTTCTGCCATCCAATTTACATATGTGTAGGTCTTGTGTTTGTTCGGTTTTCATATGTGTATGTCTGTCAATTCGCGAGTGTTTTTCTTTCACATATCTTAAGGTGTTTGACATGTAATATGTCGGTGAATAAAACCCCAGGGGGTTTTGGGGAATGAAGACCGATGACACCTTGGCCCTGCGGACTCGCCAGAAGGGCAAATTGAGCCGTTGTCGTTCTTCGTTTCTTTTTCCCCCTTAGGAAGGCTTTTGACCAACCTAATTTTGTCTATTATTTCTTGCGCTCTCGACAGTGTATGCACTTGTATGAAAGAACGTCTTCCCGCCATTTAAAAAAAAAACAAAAAAAAAACACACAACGTAGGTTCTCATTTGTTAGACGATCACAGCCAAGGCCAAACTTTGAATTTTTGAATTTTTCGCGGGCCTTTCAAACTGTTTCAAGGTCAAATTTTAAGGCGGGAAGTTTGGGTTATCACAGTACCTTTCAATAACACCCTGTAGAATACAAGAAAGAGGGATCTCAAGTTACTCATTATCTATAATTTGCTACCTGTATGGTGTTTATTCATATAGTCCTAACAACTTGGTAAAACAAAATAAAAAATATTCTTCAAACAGGTATAAAGTAAAGCATACAGGGTGACTGCGAAATATGTGCAAATATTTTAACCACGGCATCCCCCACCCTAGTAGAGCCGAAATATAGAAAAAACAAATTACAAATCGAATGGGGCAAAACCCCCATGAACCACCCTCAATACGAAGGCACTGAGCCACCTTGTAAACAGAAACGTTCGAATAAAAACGACCTAAACACTTTCAGTTTCAATGAAAAGTACAACCGACTTTTTGCTGCTTATCATTCGTTCATTCATTTACTCATTCATCGTTAAAGGTCAGTGTGAAAGTTTTTTGGTAATTTTGATTCTGACGGATGGTTGGTCCTTGTCACAACGATTTTACATTGTTTATTGGAACAGAAATAAGAGCAACTTAGAATGCTACTACCTTTTTACAAGAAATGTTGAAAATGTTGTCCTTGACTAGCAATACAGGCGTCAGAGCGTCGCAAGAGGTTTGTTGATAGGTAAAAAAACACCGTAGTAGCGGCTGCCACTTTCACTTGTTGAAGCTCTTCGATAATTTCTGAACACTGTTGATTTCCACAAACGAATTGTTTCATCCAACCAATACACGTTTCTCGAAAACCGTCTCTTGAAATCGTACTTGTTGACGAATATGTGGAGTTCCATCGGACAAAAAGTGAGTTACACAACGTGGACAATCAGCGGGCTCCAAACCGTGCACTTTGTCAACATGGTATGGATGTGATCGTGTTCTTTTAATGTAGGATGCACTACAAGCTGCGAAAATCCAATTTCTTCTTTCTGTCCCATCACGACCACGATCGTGAGTTTGAGGTTGAAGGTACCATGATCTCGGAGATGCTGTACCACTGATGCAAATGTTCGCGCACACACTCTGCATTGGAAAACTCTACCATACACCGATTTCAATGACCGCTCGATAATCACTGGCCCTTTTCGTGTTTTTCACGTTGCGATTAAAAAAGTGCCTGATAAAGTTACTTTTTTGGTTCTTAAACCGAGCCGCCTGCCATTCATTGCAGTAATTATGTAGGGCACGAAACATTACCAGTGGCGCGTATAACAATTTACATTTAATTTCAAATAATTTTTTCTAGACACTGCTACCACTTAGGACCGTGAATTTTTGCCAGTGACATAATGATATTGTGACCTATTCCCCATTTTTTTTTTGCATGTATTTCGCAGTCAGCCTGTATATACAATATAAGCCATCTATAATAATAAAATAACGACAATAAACTCAAATAAAAATGAAAATAACATTCAAATTATAAAGTAACACATTCTAACAAAAAATATAACATGAAACGTCAACAACTATAGTTGGATTCATGTATCTTTTGACACACGTGATCGAAGTATCATACAAGCTCAGACAGCACCTACCATAAGAATCTTTGTTCTAAGGATTACAAAAACGAAGAGCCAGACAAATAGTATTGTTCGGTCCAGGCAGGTAGACCGAAGGAGAAGGGGTGCAGCAGACTCCACCCTCTCACCCACCACCACCACTTGTAAATATGTACATTAAAATAGTAGCAGATTCGAATAAATCGTCAAGTAAAAAGGTCGTGTCTCACGAAACTATATTTATAGTTTCAACAACATCATTTTGGTCATCCATTGTGACCCCATCATTTTTGGTCATCCTTTGTGACCAACATTTGTGGTCACCCATTTGTGATCGCTGGTCCTTCGAGCAAATACAAAAACCTTCCGTTAGGTCACCCACTTATGACCTAACATTTGGTACTACGAGCCGGATCGTCACAACTACCGTTAGGTCACCCATTTATGACCTAACATTTGGTCCTTCGAGCCGGATCGTCACAATTTCCGTCAGGTCACCCATTTATGACCTAAAATTTGGTCCTTCGAGCCGGATCGTCATCCAGTGTTACGTAATCGAAGTGTCGAACTTAAGTGGCTTAGCATCAAGTCAGACAAGTGTGGTCTGAGCTTTATTCCGCGGACAACGAGATCCAGGACACACACGAGCGAGGGTACAAGGACGTAAAGGTAGGAATCTATATCTATCAACTTTGTACTGCATTTCCTCATACGCAATAAAAAACATGACTAACGAAACAAACGACGCGTTAAAAACATTAGTAACTAAACGGGGAATAATCAAGGGTTCGGTTACTCGAATTAAAACATTCGTGGATAAATTTAGAGCAGGCGATGATATCTATCAATTAAAAACTAGGCTACCGAATCTCCAAAATGCATTCAAGGAATTTGATGCCATACAGCGGGATATTGAATTGTTAAAGTGCGATACCGAGGAACAAACAAGCGAGCGCGATGAATTCGAAAATCGGTATTATGATTTAGAAGCAAGGATCCTAAAGTTAATCGAGTCACGTGTTACAGAACCTATTCCTTCAACGTCTAGTACTAATAACGACAATAATCAGGCGCGTTTAAATCCAGTTAGACTGCCGTCGTTAGAATTACCCATATTTTCAGGATCATATTTAGAGTGGACAGCATTTTCAGACATTTTCAAATCATTAATCCATGACAGTAGATTAGATAGTGATGTTGAAAAGCTGCATTATTTGAAATCGTGCCTGAAGGGCGACGCACATAAAACAATCGAGGCCATAAAAGTATCAGAAGCAAATTACAAATCAGCATGGGACCTGTTAGAAAAAAGGTTCAACAATAAGCGTTTGATTGTCCAAGAGCATGTTTTGGCAATCATTAATTCCCCAAATTTAGTCAAAAATTCAGCCGTGGCCATGCGTAAATTATTGGACGACATATTGACAAATATTGCGGAATTAAAAAATGTAGGTATACAAGTTCAACAATGGGACGCGCTAATTGTACCACTTATCACATTAAAATTTGATTTTATTACAAAGAGGGATTGGGAGTGTACATTGGATACCAGTGTTCCAACATTAGAGGAATTAATTACATTTTTGACAAAGAAAACCACATTATTAGAATCGCTAACTGCCGGAGAATCTCTCATGCAAAACATTCAGTGCATTCAAATTTAAAGAATAATTTCAGATCGTCTAATAATTCTAATAAAGCATCTGTTACGTGTAATGCTACCTTCATTAAGGAAGGACATCAAATTGAATGTTTTTTATGTAAACAAGAACATGCGTTATATCAGTGTCTCGAGTTTTTGAAATTACCAATAACAGATCGCTGGAATCAAGTCAAAAGGTTTAAGTTATGTACAAACTGTTTTAAGCGTAATCATCAAACTGATAAATGCAGAGGTAGGACTTGCAAATATTGTAATAAAAAACACAATTCTTTATTGCACACGGAACCTCAAAGTACCGATCCCGAACCCAATCAATCTGTCATTGTCTCACACGTAAAAAACGATGAATCTTCAATGGTTTTATTGACTACAGTGCAGAGCTGTTCAGTACTTGAAGTAAAAGTACTTGAAGTAATACTTCAAGTACTTTAAGTACTTCAAGTACTTTACTTGAAGTACTTTTATATTTAGGTACTTGGTACTTGGTACTTGGAGTATTTCTAAAATGTACTTGAGTTTAGTACTTGATATTGCCAAGTACTTTACTCCAAGTACTTCACTCAGTATTTTAAATACTCTTGAATTACTTGAAGTATGAAAGTGGAAATTTCAAATACTTTAGTCTCTATTTTACGAAGTTTTCACATCTCAAAATAGGGTCTGTTAAATACTTGACGTTATTAATTCAATTATTTGATTAGATGTATTTTTATAGTAAAATCGTGTTTGTTTCCTGTGAGGTTATATTTTGATCTGTGATTGTGGATATTGTTACGAAATACACCCTTACGCCGCCCCAGTACGACGCCTATGGCGGTCGAGAGCCTTCTGGACGTACGCACGGCGCTGATGGGTGAATCATCGCTGTTGACGGCTGAGAGGCGGGCGCATAAAGACAGATCTGGAGCCGTCTCGAAGCAGCGTCCAGGGGAATCGCGAAGCGGAGTCGCGATGGATGTTCGTGAAGGATCTCGATCAAAGAATATGAGTTTAAATAGAGGCGACCGTAGGTAATGGATTCATTCATCCAGTGAAGACAGTCGAGAGCGCCGGAATAATTTCTGTACATATTCGTCGCAATAGATAGTGTTGTAATTCGACCTGAAGAAATAAATTTTTTTGAGTTTTACCAACACCCGATTTATTATTCGTCCGTCAATCGTAACACTGGTGTCAGAAGTGGGATTTAGTTTCAAACGAGCCTTTTCCATTCGTTCTAGCACCTCCTCGAGATTCTTCAGATGGTCGTCAAACGTTTTGCCCATAATCATGACGTCGTCGAGGTATACCAGACAGGTCTTCCATGTCAGTCCTTTTAGCACCATCTCCATCAGCCGCTCGAATGTTGCTGGCGCATTACATAACCCGAAGGGCATAACGGTGAAGTGATAGAGGCCACTTCCGGTGGAGAACGCAGTCTTTTCTTTGTCGTCCGGGTGCAAGCCTACTTGCCAGTAGCCACTCTTCAAGTCCAAGGTCGAAAACCACGCCGAGCCGGATAAGGTCGTCAAGGTATCGTCTATTCGAGGAAGGGGGTAACTGTCTTTCTTCGTGACGTCGTTCAGTTTCCTGTAATCGACGCAAAATCGGGTAGTCCCGTCCTTCTTGGTAACCAAGACTACTGGAGATGACCACGCGCTGTTGGATTCTTCAATTACCCCATCTCTCAACATGTTGTCCACGAGTCTTGTAGCTTCTTCTTGTTTGGCTAGGGGTAGTCTTCGAGGAGCCTGACGGATCGGTTGCGTGTCACCAGTGTTTATTCGGTGTTCTACGATGTTGGTCTTCCCGAATGGTTCCTCCTCTGAGGCGAAGACATTACGGTGCCTACGAATGAGTCCTTTGGCCAGTTTTCTCTCACGAGCAGACAGCTGGTCCCAGTTGACCTCCAAGCCTTTGGTATCCCCTTCCTTAGACTCATTCTCAACGTCTTCTTCCTCGCAGTTCAATACTCGGGCGACTGGCTCACACATTCCGATAATCTCCCCTTTTCTAATATTGACTGCATTGGGAAACACGTTTGCCACACGTAAGGGTATGTCACGATCGGTTTTGACTAGGGTGCTCGCGATCAGGAGCTTGTGGGTCGAGTCATGTGCCGGCTGCACCATCCCCAAACTGTATCCGGGGTTCGTCTCTACTCTGGCGGGGACGATGACTTCTGCATTACCATCTACCTTCGTTGTCTGACAGACCACTAGTCTGACTGTTGCAGCTTCCACATTCGGACGTCCCAACACAAATTCTTCGGCTCCGAAACGCAGAATTTTCTGTTCTGGGTCGATCATTAAACCATACCGGCTGATTAGGTCCATACCCAGAATGAAATCGTCAGCGATTTCCGCCACCAGAACTTCATGCTTTATTCGGAGTCGACCGAGCTCTACATTCACCACCGCTGTACCCAGAACCGGTGTTGTTTCTCCCGTGACCGTCTTCACATTCGTGGCGGTACGTACTGATTTAATTTGGCAATTTTGTAACCTGGATCTGCGTGCAAGGGACACTTCGGCTCCTGTGTCGATGATGATCTTCGATTCCCGTCCATTGATTTTTCCGCTGATTGTCGGACTGTCGACGCTCCCCGCGATACTTCTAACCATTACAGTTGTTGGGGCTTCTCTTTTAGCAGCCAGTACGCGCCCCGAGATACCGACTGCCTTTAGTTTTCCTGCTCCTGATATAGACGAGGTCGCGGCTGCGATCTCCTCATCGGCCCTGGCGATCTAACACGGCAATCCCTCCTAACATGCCCTTGACGCCCACACCTGTAACATTCTAGGCGCCCTCCATGTTGTCTAGAACTGCCCGTCTTGATTTCGGCAATTATTTCGCGGGCGAGTTTCTCAAAGTTCTCGCTCATTTTGTCGAGACTCTCTTGAATAGGGTTTACTTCGCCCTCAACCCCAATGCCTCGTATCTTAACGTTGGAACGAGGTGAGCTGTTGTATGCGGCGTCCACTTCTAACGCTCGAATCAGCGCCTCGGATGGTTTCTTGAACCCGGAGATTTGCAGGACTCTTCTTACCTCACTATCTCTTACGCCGTTTACGAAGGTTTCTGCTGCCAGTCTGTCTTGGAAGTCTTGCGGAGCTTCAGGATAGGCGAGGTGTACCAAACGTTTAACATCAGCCGCAAACTCCTGAAGAGATTCACTACTCTTCTGAATCCTAGATTTAAGCTGCGCTACGAAAACTTGCCGGAGGTGTTCATCTCCAAATCTGAGTTCGAGGGCGGTCGTCAAAGCGGTATAGTCCTTCTGGTTCTCTTCTGATAATGTCTGTAGAATCTCCAGGGCCGCACCTCGTAGTGCTACTACCAAAACGGTCGCTTTCTGTTGGTCATTCCAGCTATTCGACAAGGCCGCAGCTTCAAATTGCTTCTTATAAGTAGTCCACGACGTCTGCCCATCGAAAATAGGGGGTTGAACTCTCACCGGACTGAATTCTGCAGGGGTCGCAATTGTAGGTCGTGGTGTTTGCAACCTTTCTTCGAGCTCCTTGATCTTGTTTTCCATTTCATTTCTCATCTCGTCCACTTCATTTCGCACGACTTGGAGGATTTCGCTTCGGCTGTTCAAAAGTGTAGTTTGCATAGCTTTTAAATTTTCTTCCATTATTCTTTGATTTTCTTCCATTATTCTGCGATCTTCTTTTCTATTTTCTTCCATTATTCTTCGATCTTCGAGTGTTACGATTGACGGACGAATAATAAATCGGGCGTTGGTAAAACTCAAAGATTTATTTCTTTAGCTCGAATTACAACACTATCTATTGCAACGAATATGTACAGAAATTATTCCGGCGCTCTCGACTGTCTTCACTGGATGAATGAATCCATTACCTACGGTCGCCTCTATTTAACCCATAGTCTCTGATCGAGATCCTTCACGAACATCCATCGCGACTCCGCTTCGAGACTCCCCTGGACGCCGCTTCGAGACGCTCCAGACCTGTATTTATGCGCCCGCCTCTCGGCCGTCAACAGCGATGATTCACCCATCAGCGCCGTGCGTACGTCCAGAAGGCTCTCGACCGCCATAGGCGTCGTACTGGGGCGGCGTAAGGGTGTATTTCGTAACACTGCCCCCCTCTTCAAATCCGATCGTCCCGATCGGAAGCGTCTTCGTTGTTTCCTTCGTACCGTTTTAGTCGATCGAGATGAACGATCTTCATCCTCGTCTTTGGTCCACGTTGGATCCGATAAACTACGTCATTTATTCTAGTGACGATAGTGTATGGACCTTCCCAGTCAGGAGCCAGTTTTGGGCAACGTCCCTTCTTCCGTCGGGGGTTATACAGCCATACTAAGTCATCTTCCTGGAATCCGCCACAGTTGGCCTTCACATCATAACGGGTCTTCATTCGGTCACTGGCAATCTTGATCCGGCCCCTCACTAGTTCATGCACGTTGACCAACTTCTCTTTCAGTTCGTCCACGTAGTCACGTACTTCCATTGGTTCTTCGGATGGCAATCCAAAGACTAGGTCACAGGGCAGCCGCAGTTCCTTCCCAAATACAACGTGAGCAGGTGTTTGGCCCGTGGTGTCGTGGATAGCTGCGCGGTAGGCCAGCAGGAATAGTGGAAGGTGCTGGTCCCAATCCCTTTGGTGCTCTTCTACCACTTTCGAAAGGTGTTGCTCCATAGTCCGATTGAACCTTTCCACCATGCCGTCGGACTGTGGGTGTAGTGGCGTTGTCCTTGTCTTACGTATTCCCAGTAGCTGCATCACTCTTTGGAAGACGTTGGATTCGAAATTGCGTCCTTGGTCTGAGTGAAGTTCCAAGGGGACGCCAAACCTACTGATCCAATTGTCAACCAGTACTTTCGCGACCGTGACGGCTTCCTGATTTGGAATGGCATAGGCATCTGGCCACTTGCTGAAGTAGTCGCTAGCCACCAGGATAAACTTGTTGCCGTCGTTTGTTACAGGGAACGGACCGGCCACATCGATGGCGATTCTTTCGAAAGGTGCCCCAACATTATATTTCTTCATCTTT